CATTCGCCCAAGCGTACACAGCCCCACCTACAGCTTGGGGCGGGTGGCGACACGTACAACGTAAACAACATATCAACACAACGACGCTGGCAAAGGCAGGAACAGAACCAAAAATCAACGATAAAAAAGCAACACACGCCCGTGCAAGAATTTCCCCCCTTTTGTCATCCTGCGTGGTACCGTTATGTGGCAAGCAACTGGGTGAAATGCTTCAATGCAGACATGTAAACAACACACAGAAAATGCTCATCTACGAAGTTTGAAAAATAATAACGCCAAGCCCGCCAATCGGTGCATTTAATTCCTTGCCAAAGCACGGGGTTTGGGACACAAAAAAAAAGCCCACAAGTCCAAACGAAGCGAGGCTGAGAGATGAAACAGTACCGAGGTTCCACAGCAGTGTGTTTTCTAAAAAAAAAAATCCTTCCCTATCCTGCCGACACCATGACGACAACACCTGGGCGACCGCACAAGGACAAACTACATGAAACCACAGAAGATCACAACAACAGCAACAACAGCAGCAGCAGAAACAACAAACAACCCGCATCAGCAGCCGACGACATCGCGAGGCCAAAACGTAAAAAAGGGCTTCCTCCACATGGTGGCGCGGCCTTCGTAATGCTTCGCCGCGCGGGCAACGTTGGTACGCACGCATGCTCGTCATTCACACGACCTGCCCCATAACAGAGCGGAGACAAACTGTGCTGCCGGCTTTCTTGTAGGCAGAGCCCACCGGCAAACCCATACAACAGAATCAACAACGGCCAAACACATGCGCTGGAACGAGCCAGCGAGCAACCATCCCCATCTCGATTCACAAACAAGCCGCCCGTTCTGTCTGGACAACCTCGCGCGTCGCCGCCGCCGCCGCCGCCGCCGCGGCTGCCGCTGCTGCTATTGCACAACAAGCATTTGCAACAAATCTATACTCATAAAATCTCTATGCTGCCCGTGTCGTGTCGCACACATCCCGCGAGCTCTCCGGCCCAACTCCTCCCGTAGTATTGGTCGCCCTTTCGTCACGACCACATGTCGCGCTCTGGGCACACACCGCGGAGGGGGAGAGAACAACACTGGATAAAAATGTCAACACCCACATGTCAGACTATTCCGTAAAAAAACTCTTTACAACGAACTGCGCTTGGTGCTTAGCCCCAGCACCGAGGGTGGACAGAAAAAGCAGTCAAGCGGGCGCGAAGAACAGTTTTCTCCGCACTCGCGGCGAAGTTGTCCCGCCGCGGGATGGAG